GTGAAACTCTTACAAAATGCTATTATAAAGTAAATAGAGTTGAGACCACAATTTCAGATCAACAAAATGTGGCCAAGAGACTGGTGAGTCTAATTGAACATTGCGTCTTATTGACTTTGTGGTTTTTTTTCTACTTTCCAGCTCAGAATGCAGAGAAGCTAAAAGGTGTGGACATTAGAAAACATCTGTGTAAATCCCATTCACCAACTTGATGACTTTCTTGATGCTCAAAAGGTAGTCCCTGGACCAGCAGTTTGGGAATCACAAATATAGACTCTCAGATCCACCTCAGACCGACTGAATCAGAATCCTCAGTTAAACAGCCTGTGGGAGCACTGCCCCGCGAGGGGAAAACGACAGTGATTCATTACAACACTAGAAGCCTGTGTGATTGTTGGATTTCTGGAAAACAACCAGGAAACTTTTTCTTTGATAGTGTTTATGATATACTTAATATATTTAGTGTTATAGTTGCCTTGTTCTATAATAGTTATTTAGAAAAACAAAAATACTAGACATCTGTGCAGACTTTTTCCTTTATTTCATGTTTGCACTTTCTTTCTTTTAATTAGTATACTTAGTTTCTAATTCATCTTCAAGTCCTCTCTGGACACGTGCATTCATTCCTTTATTCAGTAATCATTTTGTATGGTGATAATGTACCAAATACACTGCTGTATTCTGAGTACGTAATGGAAATCGAGACAGTACGGATTCTTTATCTCATAATACCTATAGTTTAATGGTGAAAGATGGAAACAAATAAACACATAAGTGTAAAATGAGAAAAGAGCTGTGAAGGTAACAGATAGGGTGGGGGGCAGGTACTACTTAGATGCAGTTACCTGGGCAGGCTACCAAAGGCAGTGGCATTGTAACAGCTTTGGAAGATGAGAAGAAAGCAGCCGCTCAGTAACTGAGCAGAGGCAAGACTGCTAAGGCTTTAAGAATGAAGAAAGTTTGGTAGAGCTTAGAAGCTAAAAGGAGGCTAGAATCTCTGGAATTTGTTGGGTGAGATGGACAGTGGTCAGAGAGGAGTTTGGAAGGATAAGCAGGGCCTAGATTAGCCAGTCTTGCAGGCCATAATTAGGTGTTTGAAACTCGATAGGAAGTCATTGATGTAGTTTGAGCAGATGGGGATGGAGTGAAGGTAGACAATTACATTTGAAACAGGTCCAATTTATATTTAAGAGTTGCCCTGGCTGCTGTATGGAGCATGAATCGGACAGAGACATGCTAGAATCCTGCAGGAGTAATACAGATGGCTTGGTGACAGTGATAGATTTTAGGAATGTTTGTTTGTGTTGGTGGTTCTATCCTCAAATCCATTCCTCATCCTTTCTCTTTTCTCTTCTTCATTTCAGGCTTTTTCCCCACTGTATCTGGCTTCTACTGACAGAAGGCAATGGTTGGAGCTTGGAAGGAAGGGTAACCTTTCCATAGTTGTAGCATTTTATCCTTGGCTCCAGCTCACTCAGGACTGCCTTGTTCTGCTTCCAGCTTCTGCAAGATGCTCCTAGCCTCTAGGCCCCAGTAACAGCATGTCCTCCCTTGGCTCTGCTGCTAATCTTTGGGTTGCATGACCAATTCCTGTTTAGCTTTTCAGCTCATCTATCACCTATGTAAGCAATTCCTTCTATTAGATTTCCTTTGCTCTAAACACATAAGTGTTTTCTCCTTTACTGTTTAGACCCTAATGGATGTAGAGAGTAACAGAAGGGAAAGAACCAAGAATGTCACCCAGATTTTGACTTTTCTTAATTGGGTACAAAGATTGGGGCAAGTACAGTTTGAAAGAGAGGTCAGTTATTTACTGTTGATCGTGCTGGTCTTGACACATTCAGTGCAAACATCTAAGAAGTCTAGAGCTCACACCAGATTCTGAGTTATAACTTTCTTGATCATCAGATATTGATGGTTCTTGTAGTCATGGAAATGGATAGTTCATCTAAGGAAAAATGTAGAGAGATAAGTGAAAAGAAATTTCGATTGAATCATAAAGAATTTGAGGTAGGCTGATGGAGAAAGAACCTGTAAAAGATATTAAGAAAGAGCTGAGAATTTTCTGGATTGAAATTAGCAATGCAAGTAGAATGTATAGAATACCTTTAATGTGTATCTCTCACAAATAAGTTATACTGCCAAATGAAATACCAAAACACAATTGGCAACACCATCAGTAAAACTAGCTGTAGGCCCTGAAAAATAGAAGACAGACAACAAGACAAGAATATTTACGAGTGATTAATTACACCTTAATTGTAAAATAATTTGGTATTCCTGGTTCTGGTGCACGTTGTGATTTATGTGCCCTGGGAAAAGTGCAGGGCTGCAGCCTACAGTTGGACAGCCACTGTTGAAAGGTCCAACCTAGTCGAGAGAGCCAATGAGGGTGAAATCCATTCCATCCTCCTCTAGCCAAACTGTGCACCCTGGTTGACAGCTATTTCTGCTGGAGGAAAAGAGCTATTCTGTAAACCCCTAAGAGATGGGAAAAGTCTTTTCTAACATACCCAAAGGTATTTGTGTATAAGCAATGTCTTTGGACCAGGGTGCTAGCCAAGTGTCCTATGCCACTTATCTCAATTTTAGGCTAAACTACCTATGATGTCAAAACTTAGGCAAAGTCCAGGCTGTACTGCTGAGGAAAAGAGATTTTGAGAGTAGTTTTGCTCAAGATATGGCTCTTAGACTATCTGCATCAGAATCACCCAAGAAGGCAAATTCCAGGACCCCACACTAAAACTCAAGAATTCAAACATGTAGGAGCAGGATCCAGGACTTCAATCTTTTACAGGCATAACAGGAAGCTCTATGCACATTACAAACAGAAAATAACTGCTCTCGGGACACTGGCATGTCCCCACGATGCAGACCCAACTTGGGAAAGAGCTATTTGACCCTGGTTTTAAAGACCTGGCGATCTACTTTTTGAAGACTGAAGGAAGACACACATTGGTTCTGGACTTTTCTGGAGGGTGGAGGTGGATACAAACCTGTAAAGTGTCCTAAATTACTCCTTCATGTTCCTGTTATTCTGTGAGATACCTCCTGGAAGGTTGCACAGATGTTGTTTTTTATGGAAGTACATGGATTAATCAATGCACATTTACTGATGAATTCCATGTATGATATTTAAGTGCATTTTAAGGCAGAATATTCAAAAGAACAATTTGTTCATCTCCAAATGATCTCACTCCTAGTGCTTTCCTCCTGGACACTTCCACCTCCCACCAGCCTACCCCTGATCATTAAGGCCCGTCCCTCAGAGCAGCCTTGGCTGATCAACCATATCCCAGCTGCTCTTCTCCATCCCAGCGACGGCATCATGTCCACGTCCTCCAGGGCCCCAGCTCCAGCCTGTGTTTATCTTTGTCATGTTTTTGTTTTCTATCTATCTCCCTGGGATGTACTCAACACTAGAACATAAACCTCATCTCAGTTGTCAACCACTGAAGATCCAGTGCCTGGCTTGGCGTAGGCAACCAATGTATATTTGTTGTATGGATAAACACAGAGAAATGGACCTCCGCGGGAAGAATTTAGGGTTGGGAGATGTCCCTTTTCAACTTTGTTTCTGAAATGATGATTCTTAATTCGAGTGGCGGTATAAGTTAAGCTTGCTTTAGTATTAGGCGAAAGTCTTAGGCATCTTTCAGAAGTCACTCTTAGACCAGTAGTCTTAGGAGTCTCTGGGAAGTTCTTCTGGTTAAAGAATTCGGAATCTAGGACCTCAGAAATCACTGGAATGAGTGTCTTTCCTAGTATTTTAATTACTAATTTGTAATGAGGACCCATGAAAGCAACCCTGACGTTTGCTCAGTTTCTCTGTGCTCCTCAGCGAGACACTCCTCTTACCTTCCTAAAAAAAATGCACGTCTGGAGGGAGGTGAAACAGTCATTAATCCTGGAAGGTGTTTGTCCTCCTTTCTTTTGACATTTTATTGCCCTTTAACTCATTTGTGAAAGATATCAAAGCAGAATCAGACTAGGGAATAAAAGCCCTTTTCATTAACATGGCCAACCTGCACAGATCTCTCTTTTCTTCCTTGTAGAGGGTCTTTGATCAGTACATGAGGAGAGAATTTATGAAGAAACAAAGTTAGGAAAATTTTACACCAACAGATAAAATATCACAGCAAAAAGTCACATATTCCATTTCGGAAGAAAAAAATATTTCCAAGCTGAAATCATAAAATTATTCCTAGCTGAAAGTATTAACCAGGCTAAAAAAGGAATACATCCATTAGTGGTATGGTTGGTTATTTGGGGACATAGGGAAAATGAAGATTGTCAATGCCCATGCCATTGATGTTTGGGGGGAAATGCATCATTTACAGGGGCTTAAACTCCAGCTAGGGGGCTTTGGCCCTTAATTGTTTTTAATTTCCAATCTGTAGGGTGGGGGAAATAATAAATGCTCTTTGCTTCCATCAGTTTTTAAATCTCTGTCTTTTAAAATGCTCCTTTCTGATATGGAACTTGGTGGTCATACTATGTAAAAGGCCTGCGTTTATGAAACATGGAACAGGGTTTGAGACAGTGGGCAATTTTAAACACAAGACTTTTGTGATTTAATAATATATTATCTATTAAGTATTTTTGTGTTAAGTGTTGAGTATTAAGTCACTCTGTAAGCCCTTGAATTAAAATATTCTGTAAGCACTCAAGTATAAAGTATTAATGTTACCTCACAAAATTGGGGTTCTCTTGCCCAGTGTGCATAAACAGACAGTTAATTACAGCATCAGCCTTTGGGGAAAGAGATCAGCTTTATTCTGTGAGACTGATCTACAGGCGGACAGTGGACTTGGGCTCGCAGGTCTGTCTCCCTGATTCAGGATTTGGGCAAAATTTAAGAGGTTATGGAACACAGGTTGGCACGTGGAAACGCTGGTGGGGTAGGTTTTGATTGGTGGACTTCAAGCATTTATGTTGAGGTAGGTTCTAAACATTTATGACAGGATTCTAAACATTTATGATGAGGTGGGGAAAGAATTTTAACACCTGGTCTTCCTGAATGAGGGACCTCTTGCTTCCGATAAGAGTTCAACTTTCCAGTTCCGCCTCTGACCTGATCCTTTAGTTCCATGGGGAAGAGCATCTTTGGTTCTTCCGTCACTTCAGGTCAGGATTTCTTCCTCTGCACAGGCTCTGGCCACATGACTTTGCATGTTTTCTGAAAGGCAGTTCTTAATCACTCTGTTGATAAGAGATGGCATCAGTTGAACTGGTCCTGGAGGGCCCTCAGTTACATTAATACTATCTATTAGGGATTTTTGTTTAATTCATATCATTAGGGTATATTTCCATGGATTTTTAATTTTATTTCTTTTAGTAGAAATAATTTTTAGAATTTAGAAATTCTTTTAGTAGAAATAATTTTATTTCTTTAATTCTAATTAGGTAGAAAACTTACAAATATAGAAAAACGTGAAAAAGGAAGAAAATCATGACTTGTAATAACTTGAATCAGGGATAAACACTTTTGATATTTTGGCAAATTTCCTTGTAACATCTGTGCAGAGATATGTGTAATACACATGCACATAGTATGTTAAGTATGTACATATTCACTTATATATTGAGCCCAAAGGTCTAAGTTTTTCCTAGCACATGGAGGTAAAATGAGGTCTCTTTTAGAATATTCAATAAATAATACCCATCATGTAGTATGTACAAAGCACTGTCTCAGTCACTAGGGGCCTAACAGGAAATAAAAACCAAACATCTCTGTCCTCAGGGAGTTGATTGGGGAAGAAAGCTCAGGAATTACAGTGGTTTAGGCCCTAATTTTAGTCTTCAAAGGCCCCACACCTTTTTCTGCAGGTGTGTCCTCTGCTCAGGAGTATGGTCATTATGCGTCTTCAGCTCTAGCCTCTTCCTCTTCTCGTCACACTCCTGTGAGTGCAGCCTTTGACTTGTGGGGATGGGCTATGTCTTGGCCTAGCCAACCCCGGTGCTCACTACGCTTCCCAGAGTCAGACCTAGCATGTGGCTGCCTGGAGCAGGCGTGGGGTTGAACACTCTGGGAAGGCTAGTGATTTGGTGCCGGGTGATCACTTCTACACACCTTTCATTGTATAGAGAAGAGGCTGAGTGCCACTGGGGAAGGCGATTACACTATTGTCCCGAGTGATCAGCTCTGGCCCCAGAGTCGCATACCCTCTTCTGCACTACAAAGGCCTGGAGTTAACCAGAGCATCATCTTTAAAGGTAGCTTAGCATTCCACTGTTACCCAAGTGTGTTTCTTCTGAGTTTTAAACTCAATACTAGTGACTTGTCAGGATATTCCACTCGGGCACTTATAGTGTACTCGAAAGAGTTCTGATTAATTACATTTTCTCTATGCCATTACATTTTATATGACATTTTAGGTACCCTGTTACATCGGAACCCTGAATAGCTGCCTAAAATCCCATCCCGTAATCTGGCTCTTCTTCTCCCATCACTGGCCCTGGGACAGGGGAGCATGTTTGTTCTTTGCCTCTCCATCCCAGGCAGACCCTTTTCATAATTCCCTCCAGCAGTGTAATGACTTGACACATAACAAACCTCTGCTTAGGTTCACATGCCAGAAAGTAAAATATAGGGAATAATTTATAACGTTCTATTAGATTTGGCTGCTCTTGGTGCCTACAGCCTCAAGACCAAGGAAACCCTGGTCAGATGCCTGTCTGCCCAGCTCCTGTTTGCCATTGTTTGTCAAAGTGCAGTTCTCCTTCTTTTAAGAGGATTGTCCCCATGCCTGTCCCCATGCATGTCTGTCCAAAGCCTGGAAAATCTCTCAAAAAGCAAAGGGAATTCTTCTTTCACTGTCTGGCGGGTAACTTCACAACTCTAACTTCTTATACCAGAGTTTGCCATATCCTGAGATGACATATCCTCTTTAAGAGGAACTCTTCTTGTAGACGTAGTTCTGTCCCAATTCTCTAGGCAGACAGGACAATCAAAACACTCCATCCTACACCAGTATGTATTGAGATATCTAGTCTCAGATAAAACTGAGTATCTATAGAGCCAAGCACTCCACTGTGATTCCTTTAGTTAGTCTTGTCTCCTACATGAAGTGGTCATTCCTGCGTCTCTTCATGTCTTTCCCATGGTTTTCAAAATCTTACATCTGTATTTTCTGTGAGCAACTGTCTAAGCAAAGATATGTGCATGTATGCACACATGAACACACACACACACACACACACACACACACACGTTACATGCACATATTTATCTCCAGGAGAATAAACAATATCCAGGTATTTAATATTCTTTTCTTTTTTTTAAAGATTGGTCCTGAGCTAACATCTGTTGCTTATCTTCCTCTTCTTTCCTTTCTTCTTCTCCCCAAAGTCCACCAGTACATAGTTGAATATGCTAGCTGTAGGTGTTTCTAGTTCTGCTATGTGCGATGCTGACTCAGCATGGCTTGATGAGAGGTGCCACGTCCACGCCCAGGATCTGAACTGGTAAAACCGTGGGCAGCCGAAGCAAAGAGCGTGAACTTAACCACTCGGCCACGGGGCCGGCCCCCTACTGAATATTCTAAATCTTCAAACATCAAAGAACACTTTTACCAAAGAAGAAAAACAGCATTTAGAGACAAAACTGCTAAAAAATATACATAATTTACATTATATTCTCAGACTAAACATTATCATTCACAGTCAGGTAAATACTATCTTCACACATTTCTCCAAGGTAATGACTGGGGACTTGTTTTACATTCATGCAACTAAAGAGCTCACTCAAGTGGATTTCCTAGAAAAAAAGAACATCACATTTTGGAAAACTATTAAGATTTTTTTACATATACATTAAATTTTGTTATATAAGCTTCTTTTAACAACATTACTGTTAAACCCTATATTGACTTTTGTATAATAAACTTTTCGCTTAATCTTATGTGTATTTTCCCTCATCATTAGTAATTTTTGAACACCTCCTTTCAGTGGCTGCTTCAATAATGTGGATCTACAATAACATCACATTTCTTTTAGTTAGAAGAAGTCTATTCTGTTTCTATTTTTTTTCCTACTACAAGCAACATTGGAATGGTCATCCGTACAAGTTTGCCTGCTTCATTTATTGGTTATTAAGACATGTCCGTATGAGTGAAATTGTGTCATAGGATCTTATGGTTGAACCTCAGGAGAATAGGTTCCTATTTACCTGGCCCTGCTACATAATACTGTGTCTTTTTTGTGGAACTGATTAGACTAGTATCTTATGTTCATTGTTATTAAGTCACGTTTGTCAAGGCTCTTGTCCTTTTTCTGTAGTTGAACTAAGGGCAACTCAGTAAGATCTTAAATTTTGTTGCTTAAGGTCTCCTTTTAGGAAAGCCTTCTTTACTTTAAACAACTGGTATTTACTAATAACACATTTAATTTAATTATTCTTATACACTTATTCAATGAAATCACAATGAAAATTCTCATTTTTCAAGCATAATGAAAACTGAGTCTAAACATCAGACTCTTCAAAGAGTTAACACACAGTTGGCTGTGACCAAATCCAGGTCCAGAGAGTTGTAAGCAGATTCTGCCAGAGGTCTGTGTGCACCACTGGAGGATAGTTGTGGAAAGGGCTAAGCCTCCAAGAGCCATCTTCTTTTGACTCTGAGAGGGTGTTAGCACCAGATGGAATGAGGTCTGCCTTCTACGGGAAGAGCACCGTCTGCCCTGTACCACAGTGGCAATGCATTTCCCACACAATGTAGTTCCATGCTGACCACATCTGGTGTGATGGTTACTCACATCTGTGACTTATACATGATCAGACTCACTGAGGTTTGCTCTTCTTCCCGTTTCCAATTGCTCTCTTTCCTCAATCTTCTCTGTCTTTGTTGTCATTGAATTTCATTTTAGTCTGTAGTCAAATTGAGGGCTTCTCTAAAGTTTAATTAAAATCCTGTTTTTTGGGTTCCTTTCCCAAAGTTCTGCTATGTCTGCCCTTTCTGGAATGGTTGGACATTTGATTGACTAAATAAACACTCAGAAATGCATATAATTCTATAGTCACTCTCTACCTGTCATCAGTCAGTGAATTGTTTGTAAATGAACAGATATGATTTCCATTTCATCTCTGAATGTTTGTTCCTTCATTAGATTAGCCAGAGTGATCAGAGGAAAACTGTTTTGACCTCTGGAAAACACACTTAAGGGTATTGTCTCTCTGTCTCTCTATCTGTCTGTCTGTCTCGGTAGAAAGACAGATGATAGATAGATAGATAGATGATAGATGATGATGATAGATAGACAGATAGATGATAGAGAAACATATGATAAATAGATAGAAAGACACATGATCATGATAGATGATAGATAACGATGATGATAGATGATAGGAGGATAGACAGATAGATAGACAGATAGATAGATATCATAGGTACTGAATGCCACACACATGGCAAACACGAAGTAGGTGTAAGTTCCTTCTATATTCCAAAATTTTTACATTTTAACTTAGTAATGTAAATTTTTACATTTTCATTTAAACATGTAAAGGCCTTAAAACTACATTATCTCTGAAATGGTTAAGTGAGAATTTTTATATGTTACAAAACGCTATGTAAATATGTATCTTCATTTTACATATTTAAACACAAATAATCTAGGTCAAGTTTATCGTAAATTAACACATTTTCTATACTTGTCTTTGGCTAAGTGATTATAGATAACAATCTGAAATATGCTCTGCCTACCTAGAATCCTGATGGAGGCAGGCAGTGAAGAGCTCTCACCATTATGCTGAATTATGGGCTGGACACAGTCGTTGGTGGTATGAGAGGACAGTTTTCCCTGTGTAACAATTACAATGCAGTTTCACTCATAACAGAAACGTGACACATTTTCTTAGTGTTAGACACACATAGCCTATGCAGTTGTGCCAGTGTTGAACTGGAATTTGAGAGTTTTAATGCATTTTTGAGATACCACACATACGTGAGAGTATAGCCTTTGTGTGATAATTGTAGATCTGAGAGGAATAACAACTGAGCACCAGTGACTAATCAACTCTCCTATTCAACAATGTATCCAATACACATCTCTTGAGTGTCTACTACTTGTAGATTACAAAGTGAATGAGTAACAGGGAAAGAAATATTTTGGGATAAAAAAGCATT